ATCGACTACACCAAAATTTCTCGGGAAAACACTTTTTCTTATTAATTTTGTTGCGTAGAATCCAAAACAATTCGTACTTTTTCGATTAGACTTCTCAATCAAAAGTTATAGACTAGAAACCAATTTCGAAAAAAAAATCAAAGGGCTGTAACTTTTGAACTAGTAGCCCAATCTTGGAACTGTTTGAAATTATGGATTCTACAGGCCACATTCTATAAGAAAATTTTGTTTCCGGGTCGATCTGAGACAATTTTTTTTGGGGCTCAAAAAAAGGCAGTGTATAACCTTCCTTTTTTACCAAAAATCGACTACACCAAAATTTCTCGGGAAAACACTTTTTCTTATTAATTTTGGTGCGTAGAATCCAAAACAATTCGTACTTTTTCGATCAGACTTCTCAATCAAAAGTTATAGACTAGAAACCAATTTCGAAAGAAAATTCAAAGGGCTGTAACTTTTGAACTAGTAGCCCAATCTTGGAACTGTTTGAAATTATGGATTCTACAGGCCACATTCTATAAGAAAATTTTTTTCCGGGTCGATCTGAGACAATTTTTTTCGGGGCTCAAAAAAAGGCAGTGTATAACCTTCCTTTTTTACCAAAAATCGACTGCACCAAAATTTCTCGGGAAAACACTTTTTNAAAGTTATAGACTAGAAACCAATTTCGAAAGAAATTCAAAGGGCTGTAACTTTTGAACTAGTAGCCCAATCTTGGAACTGTTTGAAATTATGGATTCTACAGGCCACATTCTATAAGAAAATTTTTTTCCGGGTCGATCTGAGACAATTTTTTTGTCGGGGCTCAAAAAAAGGCAGTGTATAACCTTCCTTTTTTACCAAAAATCGACTGCACCAAAATTTCTCGGGAAAACACTTTTTCTTATTAATATTGGTGCGTAGAATCCAAAACAATTCGTACTTTTTCGATCAGACTTCTCAATCAAAAGTTATAGACTAGAAACCAATTTCGAAAGAAATTTCAAAGGGCTGTAACTTTTGAACTAGTAGCCCAATCTTGGAACTGTTTGAAATTATGGATTCTACAGGCCACGTTCTATAAGAAAAATTCTTTTCCGGGTCGATCTGAGACAATTTTTTTTGAATGCGTCAAAAAAAGGCAGTGTAAACCTTCCCTTTTTACCAAAAATCGACTGCACCAAAATTTCTCGGGAAAACACTTTTTCTTATTAATTTTGGTGCGTAGAATCCAAAACAATTCGTACTTTTTCGATTAGACTTCTCGATCAAAAGTTATAGACTAGAAAGCAATTTCGAAATAAAATTCAAAGGGCTGTAACTTTTGAACTAGTAGCCCAATCTTGGAACTGTTTGAAATTATGGATTCTACAGGCCACATTCTATAAGAAAATTTTGTTTCCGGATCGATCTGAGACAATTTTTTTTTCGGGGCTCAAAAAAAGGCAGTGTATAACCTTCCTTTTTTACCAAAAATCGACTGCACCAAAATTTCTCGGGAAAACACTTTCTCTTATTAATTTTGGTGCGTAGAATCCAAAACAATTCGTACTTTTTCGATCAGACTTCTCAATCAAAAGTTATGGACTAGAAACCAATTTCGAAAGAAAATTCAAGGGGCTGTAACTTTTGAACTAGTAGCCCAATCTTGGAACTGTTTGAAATTATGGATTCTACAGGCCACATTCTATAAGAAAATTTTTTTTCCGGGTCGATCTGAGACAATTTTTTTGCGGGCCTCAAAAAAAGGCAGTGTATAACCTTCCTTTTTTACCAAAAATCGACTACACCAAAATTTCTCGGGAAAACACTATTTCTTATTAATTTTGGGGCGTAGAATCCAAAACAATTCGTACTTTTTCGATTAGACTTCTCAATCAAAAGTTATAGACTAGAAACCAATTTGGAAAAAAAATTCAAAGGGCTGTAACTTTTGAACTAGTAGCCCAATCTTGGAACTGTTTGAAATTATGGATTCTACAGGCCACATTCTATAAGAAAATATTTTTTTCCGGTCGATCTGAGACAATTTTTTTCTTGGGCCAAAAAAAAGGCAGTGTATAACCTTCCTTTTTTACCAAAAATCGACTACACCAAAATTTCTCGGGAAAACACTTTTCCTTATTAATTTTGGTGCGTAGAATCCAAAACAATTCGTACTTTTTCGATCAGACTTCTCAATCAAAAGTTATTGACTAGAAACTAGAAACCAATTTCGAAAGAAAATTCAAAGGGCTGTAACTTTTGAACTAGTAGCCCAATCTTGGAACTGTTTGAAATTATGGATTCTACAGGCCACATTCTATAAGAAAATTTTTTTTCCGGGTCGATCTGAGACAATTTTTTTTTCGGGGCCTCAAAAAAAGGCAGTGTATAACCTTCCTTTTTACCAAAAATCGACTGCACCAAAATTTCTCGGGAAAACACTTTTTCTTATTAATTTTGGTGCGTAGAATCCAAAACAATTCGTACTTTTTCGATCAGACTTCTCAATCAAAAGTTATAGACTAGAAACAAATTTCGAAAAAAAATTCAAAGGGCTGTAACTTTTGAACTAGTAGCCCAATCTTCAAACTGTTTGAAATTATGGATTTTACAGGCCACATTCTATAAGAAAATTTGCTGGACGTAAAAGTATTTAGTATTCAAATACTTTTTGAGAGTATTCTGCCCAGCTCTGCCTCTGATTGACGTCTTTATGTCATTTGGTTTGACTAATTGATTCGACATTTGTTCACCGATGTAGGGCAAACAAGGGGAAATGGATTGAAACTACTCAGACAATTGTCACGTAGTTATATCAAAGTCGTTGTAAAAGTTATAAACGCGAGTTTACCTCTGCCTTTTTATTTACCTGTTTTCTGTGTGACAGCTGTAACGAGTGTGTAACTTTCTGTATGAGGCGTAATAATGTGTGTACTTTGAGTTGATAAATGTGAACTTTCCTCGAATAAAACGGCGGCTTTGGTTGATTACAGTTAAAGCACCAAGATTTACGTTGTCTTATTATTTACTTTGAGTCTATAAGTTATGTTTAGTAAGTATAATGTAGGACGTGCAATTTCTAATGCATTTCCTCGGGGACTTCGACTAAGAAGCTCGGTTTTCTAGTTTACATTGCTAATAGAAATGCTCGAAAGGGTTTGGGAATCGCAAAGCTTCGCACGCACAATCGTAATTAATATTGTAAAAATAGAAGTGGTCCACAGTAAGAGACTTGAGGTTCACCGTCCACGACGCTGTCGTTTTCGATCAAATTCTGACAAAATATATCAACAGTAGAGAGACGATAAAATTAATTCCAGCTTGAATTCGCCTTTTAGAGCGGAATCAAATGTTCTAAGGATTGAGTTTGAAGTGAATCTAAATCAAATTACTAACAAAAAAAGACTAAATAGCAGAAAAAGCGTATTAGTATCAACTGAACCCTTTAATCGCACAGTATTGCTTTTACAAGATCAATAGATACTTCGCTTCAGAAGGCTTCAGACATATCATAACCTCAAAGGCGACGTGTGCCACGTGCACGTCTCGCAAAATTGAGTTTCAATCCTCACGCCGGCCTCGCCTGTCTTTAACCGAACGAAATTGTAAAACACGATTTACTCCCCTCGACAGGCCATTTTTCTCCCGGTCGGCTTATTTTCAACTCGTAACGAATAAAAATGAAAGTGGCGCGACGTTATTAGTTGACTTTTTATTAGCTGATTTATCGTTCTAATTTGCAAGAGCGCCTCGAAATGGACGCGAGCGGCAAATGGGCTGAGTGATTAAAACAGTCACGAAATATTTCAACTTTTACGCCGGAAACGGCAGTAACTGGGTCGAAGGAAAATTGAGAAACAATCACAAGATGATGTGAGCGTTTCCAATCGCGAACAGAATGGCTTTTTGATATTTTAATAACACCATATTACGCCCTTTGCACCACGTGCTGCCGAATTTCGAGCTTTTGTAGGCAAACAGAGCTTTGTTGCTGTAAATGTGTAGGCATTATCGATGGAATAATGCTTGTCAGTTTGTATTGTCTCAATATCACCGTGTAATGTTAATTAGCAATGGCGTTTCTTGTATGTAATTAGTTTGGGTAAATCTATAAACCTAATTATTTGGGCATCAGATAATTTCTACTGTAACGAGATTTAAAACTGATACAAAATGCCATTAGTGGACGGCAACGGATACGCATCCTGTACGGAAACTTGGCTTCTCTGATCGAAGTCAAAGTGATTAGGGATATACTGTCGGGTTCCATGAATCTGGCTAGGAATACTATTAGTTGACAGAAACGGATAATAATCATTTACGGAGATCTAAAGGCTTTCGAAGAAAAAGACTGTTGTAGTTGGCGCTCTGGTGACCAGGTTTCCCGATGTCAGGTTTCATCAGGTCAACACTTAATGTACGGTCACGGATAGGCATCTTTCACAGAGACTTTGTTTACCTGTTCCAAGTTAATTCGAAAGAGGATTTTTGCTTGCTGTTGCAGTTAGAGAGATTTGTGACTAGCTAGAAATATCATTAGTCGAAGACTTTTTCGCTGTTGTAGTTAGGGCTCTGGCGATGTCAGGTTTCATCAGGTCAATACTTGATGTATGGCAACGGATAAGCATCTTTCAGAGAGTTTGTATACCTGTTCGAAGTTAATTACAAAAGAGGACTTTTTGCTTGCTGTCGCATTCGTAGGTTAGGTCGATACGATCGGGTTGTATGAAACTGACCAGGAATACCATTAGTGGAGGGAAACGGATAAGAATCTTTCACGGAAATTTAATTTGCTTTTTGAAGAAAGACTTTTTCTCGCTATTGTATTTTCATGTATGAATTGATTTTCAACTTACGAAATTTCAAACATCGACCTGGGGAGTACGATTGAATAAGTAACTGTATGGAGGGTTAAGTAAACGTTTTCAATAAAACACCCATAGTGCAATACTAACGAGACGGTTGAGCATTGAGAATGTGCTACTAATTGTTCCTTCAACTGATTTCCATTTCGCTACTTAAAAATGCACGAAGCGAACGAGTTAATAATTCAGAGTTTAATTTTCGCAGATTCTACATTAGCAACTAATAATACAGCAAGACAGACTACAGAACTACGCTTTCCTATTCCTAACAAGTGCGAAGGGCTTGTTCGTCTTTGCATGTAAATTCCCACCTGCCATGTGATTTAGTGCAGGGCGGCTCGCCATATCCCGCGCAGTTGACCACCGTCTTCCTTACTTTCGGAAGACGGATCCTCCTCTTGCGCCATGACGTAGTAGAAAATGGCGAAGATGACGAGGATTGCTAAGGTATACTTCATTTCTGCGAACGCAAAATCGCATATTTAGAAATATTCAAAAAATTATGGAAAGGTTACTTACTTGCTAGTTGTGAGGAAGAAACTGCACAATTTACTAGTCTACCCAGCGGCTTATATATGGTTTCTAATTATAAAGCTCATCATATTGCGTAAGAAAAACAATGAATATTTATTGAGTAATAATAATTATGCCCTTGAGGGGCTGGTTTTTTTCTTTCCAATTAAAAAAGAAAAAACTTTCACAATATATTAAATACAAAACTAAAACTATAATTTATTGCTTTTTTTCTTCTTTTTTCTAAAATCTTCTCTCCTCATTACCGCTATTATATTCAAATTTTTTCTTCCTTAGGTATTTCGGTACCCTTCTCTTTATCAACTCTCTACTGTTTCCTCGTGCGCTCTCCATTTTCACCCTCTGTTGCTGTACTGGTGTATCAGTGTCCCTTTTTGACGATTCATCTCCCATCCTTTCTCCTATTTGCTTCTCCTTTCGACCTAGGCCTATCCGTATCTGTTTTTATATTTTTATATATTTATATTTTATATTATCTACTTTGTACGTGTTGATTGTTTTTACTGTGTTGATTCTATTTATTTAATTGTTTCAATGTTATATATGTATTGTGTTATCTTCTACTGACTTGTGTTAATACGTAGCTACGTATATATCACCAATAAACATTATTATTATTATAGTACTTTTGTTGTTCTTCCCAAATTCCTGTTGTGTTCATCCTTGTTGAGGAGCATATTTCCTCTCCCTTTTCCTTTCCTCCTCATTTCCCATATCTCATCTTCTTCGATTTTCCTTTTCTTTCCCAGTACCTCTTCAATTGCGTTGATCTGTTCTATTTCCGTTGTCATGCTTACTGTGTCGTCCGCGTATGTCAGGGACCATACAAAACAACATCTCAAATTGTACAATGAAAATCAGGTAGTCGAGTCAAATGCAGTTCAACAAATTAATAAAAACGAGATACAAATGAAAAATAAGATGAAATCATTTTAGTACAAAAATACATCTACGGCTCAATTTAGACAAAACAACTCATAAAATGATAAATTGCGTGTACCTAAAGAACATCAAATGCGAGTATCCACTATTATCATACTCCCTTTCTCATATTGGGACAAGAGCTGCAGCCCGCACGAGATGAGAAAGGGCACGGAACTGTATTACGTGCTGTCTCCACTGTATAAACGGTTAATAGGACTATACAAGGCCATACACACCAGAACGCTCATGAATACGTACATAAATACGCAATCAATTAATATAAGGGCGTCATCTGTAAGCTTGTAGATGCCATGTATGAAAGTTCAAGCAACAAGAAGGTCTAAACGTTGAGCGCGAGCCTTCACTTTTCAATTCATGAAAGCACATGAGAGAACTGCATCTTTCGTACACTTCAAGCCTTACTCTTAAAAGACAGGCCTCATTCTACTTCTTTGAAGTAAAAAGATTCAGATGCTAAAGATCACGCTTTTATGTTTTTTTAGAGCTTCGTAAACGCATTTCGGGCACCTAGCTGAATCTTGTTGGGCTATTCTAGCTCAATCCAATGGACAATAGGTCCTGATTCTTTTACCTTTGGAACGCTTTTTGACGCAGGAAATCTGATTCAAATCAATATCTCTTCTCATAGGACGCACTAACTCAATCTGGTCGATAATCAAAACTTAAAGTTTACGGAGAATCCTATGAACTCAATAGCTTACTTGACTTTATTAACGTTGACCAAATAATGTTTAATTTTTAGTAATCATACTCAGTACCCACTATTACATTGGCAAACTTGGAATGAGTTCACAAACTGAAGGTCTGATATGACGATAAATACGCTTTGTTCGACTGGCAACAAATACAAAAATACGTATATATTTAAAAACTACGTAAAGATCCAACAATTCGTGCGTGGTGAGTAATTACCCTAGGGTAAGGTCAGCTCTCTTTGGTAATTGCAGCTCCTTGATGTAACATGGAACAACTCTAATAGTGTTGAAGATTGCAGTAAATACGGCTCGTCCCAGGTTAAATAGGTTCCCGTTTATTCCATGCAGCGATGAAAATCTTTTGCCAGATCAAAGATCTAGGTGTACATGTTCGTATTCGCGCTGTTGATGCCGCGATGTTTGAGAAAGCGTAGAGCAATTTTATCTACACGATTATCTTCTTGCTTTTAATTTTAAGCTTTACGAATATCGATTTGTTGATGTAAAAGCCACTTCAACCTTTTTTTATTACTTATATCGTTTCTATGGTAACCACAAGATTTAATTTTTTCCTGTAGAAATTCGGTATAGACAATTTAAAAAACGAAATAGATGAACTTATCGGGTACTGTAATAAAACCCATTTACGGACGCGAGTAAACAATTTCTTCAGATTATGTTAACGCGCCATTTTGTTAACCGATTAATTTCAGCATCGCCTCTTATTTATAACCTGAACATCGAAAACCTGCACGTTTCACAACGAATTAATTTACTGGAACTTTAGGCCCAAACTAAAGCCTCGATTGCCAATTATTCACTGTTTAAGTCAAAAGTCTCACTCTTTTTGGTGCTTGCCTATTTATATTAAGGCGAAAATTGAACCAACGAAATTTCCGCAACCGACGTCTCCCTTAAACCAATAGCAGACCAGCATCTTTTGTGTAAACTGCGCGTTGGTCTCGGCCAAAACGGACCCACCGAAGCGATAAAGTGCGCGGCTACCTTGGTAACAATCTACGGGTCCTAGAGCGCGCGAACTTGTTGTCGCTACCCGTACGACGCGGTACATATGCAATTTTACCCATATAAAATTCGGAAAAAGAAATGTTATCTTCAAAGTGGGCTCCCGTTACAGTATTCCTCGTCCACATCCCTTTGTTTAGCTATCAAACGGGCACAAAGGTATTAAAACTTTTCTTTCTAATATTTACGTTGTGCCTATCATATCAAAATTTAATTTTGTCAAAAAGGTAACTCGGAATGAATAAACATTTTATCATTCATTGTTACATGAACGTTTTTTAATCCTCTTAATAAGTGTATCCATCGCAATAGCCAATTAAAACGGAAAAACAAAATTTTCGCGTGATGAAAATAATTATTGTCCTAAAAAACACCTAATCTTAGTCATTACGTCTCGTGTTTACTACTCAATTAAAATTTAGAAGCAACAGAAATACAGACCCCTCGGATCATAATTTCTTTACCATAGAACTATCGAAAAAAATGGATCATAATTTCTTTACCATAGAACTATCGAAAAAAATGGTCGCCCCGTTTCTAAAATATTTCTGGTCACCGCAATGCTGTATTCCAGTAGACAGACGAGTAATAGCAATACCACAACAATTTAGCGCATTTTCTATGCATTAACCAGTACTTCCCAAAAGGCCAAATCTATGTGAGCTATGGTTTTCTTTACGAGAAACAGTTAATATTTCAAAGAAATATCTTCATAAATAAGGAAGTTGGCACTGCGCATGCGCACATCCCATGTTTACAATATGCGCACATTAGTCTGATGTTTAGAATATGCAATACGTTTGTTTTACCAAAAGCATCTTTGGTTAAAATTTCAAAGAGATATTTCCATAAATAGGAAAGTTGGCATTGCGCAGTCTGCGCATGCTCTCACCAGATTTTTACTCTATGCGGTATGTTTGCCTTTACTAGTCTATAAGTATCTGTGGTTAAATTTTAACAACGTATATTAACAAATAAGAAAGTTTGGAATACCCCCAGGAACAAGAAAGGGCCAATCTTTACCCATTTTTTACTGGGGGGCATTTCACACTCCCCACATCTCCCGGTTCTATATTCTTCCCCAGAATGTGCAGTACCCTTAGCACTCATACCATAATTTCTTTCAAGATTCTTTAGAGCTGAATGTTTTGTGGATGAAACTATCACTGGGGGATCTGGGATACCCCCCAGTAAAGGAAGGTCTTTATGTCAGTTGTAGGTAACTGACGATTGACTATTTCTTTTGCTCGGGGAGTATCCCATTCCCCCCAAATACCCCGATTAAACATTTTTCCCCTTACACCAAAATTTTTTTCAAAATTCTTAGAGCTCAACTTTTTGAGAATAAAATCACCGGAAAGGAAAAAGAAAGAGCCAATCTACACCCCAGTGTACGAAGATTTCATGACAGTAAATGAAGATTGACTCATCTTTTTAGTAGAGGTGGTATTCCATACTCTCAGACCCTCCGGTTCTAAGGTCTTCCTCCGCATATGTTAACCGGCGGAAGACGAGTCATGAGGACGGGAGATTTAATGCTCATTCTACGAGGTTGGTGTCGGGAAACACTAACAGAAGGGGAACCGAAGTAGAGTAGATGATGGCGGTCCTGGACCACAAGTCGTCAATACGGGTACTCGCCTCGCGTTTCAGAGAGGAAGGAGGACGTACCTCAATCACAGATGTAACCTTCGCTAGCGTCACCTCGTGTGCAGCCTTGGCTGAAACCACGCCCACTTATAGATAAAGGCAAAAATAAACGATAAATAAATAAAATAATAATTGGAAAGTGAAGGAGGAGTTCCCCATCGACCACTATTGTATTACATGGACGGTAGCCGGCCGTACACAACTTCTGAAACCGAAGGCTCTTAACAGCCAACAGCCACATGGGATGGCAGAAAGATAAACGTGGAAAAGTTGAGAGGGATTCTGAAACGAAGACATGCTAAGTACGTACCCCGTTTGAGGTGGAGCAGCTGCCAACAAACTGGTTCGACGAGGTGGTGCCGAGGGTTAGAGAATGAGCTAAAACACCAATGGGATCTAGAACAGGCCGCGGGGAGGAAAGGGCAGAAGGTGAGCAACGAGGAAAGGTGAAGTCGACCAAGCCTGAGCAGAGAAGCCACCATACCTGATTAGGTTGGTTCATAGATGCCTCACGAACCGAATAGTGCAAGCAAAGCTACCTTCGAGAGCCAAATTTATACTGCGTGACGAAGGGGTACCACAAGGTTCGGTGCTGGGGCCACTTTTATGGAATATCACTTATGACGCTGTGACGCTTATGACGTGCGGAGAGGCTGCACATACCTGCTAAAACTAACTCTGCACAGCTGACCGGAAGGAGCCCCCCCCTCCACTGCC